AACCCAACATTTAAAAGCAAATACCCAACGTACTTTCACCCTTTCAAAAACATTTTTTTATTTTTTTTTTTAACAAAGTTACTTAAGGGAAGAATCACTCCCCCCGGGAAAGGGCCTTTTGACAAAAAAAGGGAAAAATTTGAAACAATTTTGGAAAAGGGGCCCTATAAAAGAATTTAAATGCAAAGTAAAAGCTCATGCTTTTTCCTTTCAGAAAAAAAAATTTTTTTTTTTTTTTTTAACTAAAATAAAAAACAAGCCCCCCGGGGTTGGAACCCAAATTTTTGCCCCAAAGGGGCTAAAATTTAAAACAATTTTGGTAAAAGGTTCTTTCGAAAAGTCAATCCCATAATTTAACCTCTACCCCTTTGCCCAATTCAAGAAGAATTTTTAAAATTTTTTAATTTTAATACATAAAAGGGAAAAAACAAACCCCCTTTTGGGGCAGAGAAATTTTTAACACAGGGGCCCAAAAATTAAAACAATTTATAGGGACCCAGATAAAAAACCCAAAATAAAAAATTCTGGGCCCTTTTTCCCTTTCAAAAAATTTTTTTTTTTACAATTACAATAAAAATCAATGCCCCCCCGGGGGGGGGAAAAATTTTTCCCCCGGGGGCCTAAATTAAAACAATTTTCCCTAAAGGTTTTAACAAAAATTTTTTCATGCAAAATACAAAAACCTCTAGCTTTTTAATTTGCAAATTTTTTTTAAATTTTTTAACTATAATTTTTACTAAAAACATAAAGGGAAAAACCCAAATGCCCCCGGGGCGGGGCCGTTTTTGACCCTAGGTAATAAATTTAAAACAATCTGGGTAGAAGCCCCAACAATGCCAAAATGCAAAAAAACAAACTCTCCCCCTTTTGGGTTTTTAAAAAAAAGGGTTTTTTAATTTTTACTAAAACAATATAAAATAAATGACCCCCCGGGGGGGGGCCGTTTTGCCCCCGGGCTATCATTTGACAAATCGGTTTGGGGTCTCCAGACAATGCCATAAAAAATATAAAAAGCCGGGCCCTTTTTGGGGTCTTTAAAAAAGGTTTTTTATTTTACTAATGAAAATAAAAGTAAAAAATAAAAATGACCCCCGGGGGGGGCCGTTTTTTGCCCCCGGGGCATTTTGAAAAATTGGAAGAATTCCCAGCCCAAGTTTAAAATGCAAAGTACAACCCCTTGGGCCCTTTTGGGGTTTTTACAAAAAAGTTTTTTAAAATTTATTCAAAAACCCTTTTGGTTCCAAAGGCAACCAAAAAATTTCGCAGGGAAGAAAATTTTTTGAAAAAAATTTTTAAAAAACCCTTTCACCAAGGATCAATCCTCCCAAATTTTGGTTAAATTGGGACCAGGGTTTTTCAACAAAAAGTTTTTTGAATTCACTTAAATCTATATAAAAAACCAACAAAAACCCAAAACAAACACCCCAACACACACGCACACACAGGGGAATCGCATTTTCCACCGCATCGAAAATGCTGGGGGTGGCATAAAAAATGGATTTAGTTTTAAACCCCCATTTCCAGAATATATGCTTTTTATACCCCCAACCCCTAACCCCCTAAAAAATGCTTAATATTTTCCTCTGATAGAAATGCCCTGTGCACTTCTTCATCAGCACCATATAACTTAACAACATAGAGACAGAAAGCTGTCCCTATAGATAGCCTTTGCTATATACCAGCATGCATGTCACATGTGTTAAATTGAACTTAAATTTGAAAAATTTTATAAAATGTGTGGGTAAATTCCATTTTCAATGGTTGGAATAACGCCACCGGTAGCATAGTAATTGGGGATAACAGTACAAAAGCCCCCCCCCCCCCCCCAATCTAAAAATGACAAGGTGGAACAAAAGCCCCCCCCCATGAAATATACACATAGGACAAAAGCCCCCCCCCCACATCAAAAATACAGGTAGGACAAAAGCCCCCCCCCCCCCCCCCAGTCCATGAAACAGGTTGTTATTGAGAATCTCGTCAGTTTAATTCCAGAACTTTGATGTATTGAGACAAGTCAAATGCAATTGTTTTAAAAATAATTTACATTAAGATTTAAATTTAAAGGTACAAAAGTTTCTAATTTGATTTATTGTGTAATTCGTATATATTCATTGATGATATGAATGTTTTGATGTTTATTATATATATTGTACAGTACAAAACTTAATGTAAATGAATATTTTTCAGAGAATCATTTATCAATGCTTATCAAGGAAATAAAAGTGGAAGGCGCATACTTGTCCAGATTATTTGAAAGTATAACCCAAGTTCCCTAAAACACTGGGGCATGTGATAAAAGATAGTTATCAGTCTGGTCTATAAACCTTAGGGGGGTTTTGTTTGCTGTACTGGGGGGGGGGGGGGGGGGGGCTTTGTCCATAGCCCTGTATTTTTGATGGGGGGGGGGCTTCACTCCTACTGTGTAAAATTTTATGGGGGCTTTAGTCCACCTTGTCATTTTTAGCGGGGGGGGGCTTTTCGTCCGGGGGGGGGGGGGGCGGGGGGGGGGGGGGCTATTGTCCTACACTCCAAAAAAAACCTCTAAGTAATTGAATTTTGGTTTAGGAAGTGGCTAGCCGACGCCCGTACGGCTAGCCAAAAGTTCTAGCCGTACGTGGAGTCACGTACGACTAGCCTGGACACACTGTATTGGCTATGCCGTACGGCACTGTTTCAAAATTATATAGAAGTCGAAAAATGCATATGTTATTTTGTGTCCTTAAAAACGACGATTTTAATCAAATCTACGCAATTCCTTGCAAAAAAATAAAAAAAATGAAATACGAGTAAGCGGTTGTATAATCTATCTTAATAGGATTAAGTGTCAAAGTTGCATGTTATAACGTCCCTTTGTTTCAGCTTATGATTTCTGTAATGAAAGAAGAAATTTTAAAAACGTTAATTTTAACACATGAATCGGGAATAAATAATGATCGAGGGGGAATAATAAATAAAAAAAAGGAAAAAAAAAAAGAAAAAAAGAAAAGAAAAAGTAAAAAAAAACGGTGAAAAGGAAAAAATAATTTAATAATGCAAACTTTTTCCTAAAATGATGGACGATGGCAAACTTCTATCCGTTTAATTAACAGAGGCCCCAACAACAATTATTTTCGGTGTTTTTTGTTTGTTTGTTTGGTTTGTTTTTTTTTTTTTTTCAAAAAATTAAAAAATTACACTTTAAATGAAACAAAAAAGGATTATTATGAAATTTTTGTAAACTATTTCAATTGATTTTTTTTAAACTGCAACCCAAACGCATTTTTTTTCCTCGACGTCCTTGAGATGACAAAGTTACATTTTTTAACTGAGCCAAACACGTCGATTTGGTTTAGCAGTAGGGGAAAACATCTTATCCCTGTGCCCCAACCCAACCACTATATATATTATTTACAAGATTTATTCCGTATTCTTTTATGTAGATCTATTATATAAACAGTATAGATCTAGTAGATAGCCGATACAATATACTGCTAGATCTACAGGTTTTACTTCTGAAAATTATATAAAAACTGGTCTAATCCAGATGATTTCCAATTTGTTTATAGACTAAGAAAAAAAAACTCACCAAAAACTGCAAAATGTATCCGTGTTCGTTCATTTCCCCTTCCACATCACAAATATCCCTTTTGAAGTTTACTATCTCCGGCACAAAACCTTTTGGATGACCGAATATTTAACTTTCCACGGTAATCACACAACGGGGTCAATGCAGTTGATGACGCAAAAGTGGACGACTTCATTTTCACGCCATTGAAGGGGTGTCCAGCTCGATGCCAGTGTGTAAACGTTTTAATGATATTTCTGATGAATCAACATTTCAATTATTTATAACTGATGGAAAGGATAATTTAATTATCCTATAAAACCTGGGACAAAAGGTATTTTTAAGTCACAGATAAACGAAAATGCTTTCACGAAAATTGTGTCCTGCATACGGAGTACCCTGACTCCCCCGTGTAAGCGTATCGATTTGTCCGTTGCCGCCGAAACTCTTTGAACTTCGAGCGGGTGCCTGTGTAGTTTAAAGACACGCAAAGCTGAGGTTTAAACGGGTAAATTAACTGTTACAAGAGGTCTCGTTTAAATTTGCCGTAGACATGCGGGATGTTTCTTAAAGACTAGGTGAGTAAATTAACTGACTTCTGTAGATCTATATATAACTTCTTAAATTTTGTAATTTATTTACAATATAGAAATCTAGATAGAATTAAATCTTGAGTTGTCCGATTGATTTTACCTAAAATATGTTTAATCTTGTTATTCATGAAAATTGCAATATAGATCTAATATCAAAATATTTAAATAAAAAAATCATTTTTTTGTAATATTGTTCTTTTTTTAATACTTTGATTTAGATGTAATGGTCTTAATTTTTCAGAAACATGTAGTCTTAGACTCTAGTGGCTCAACTGCCTTATAGTCTTATCACAGTAAATACTTCAGTGACAGACCGCTATGACTTCAAAACAGGGACTCAGACTGAAATACAATAAAATATTTCAGTAAAGATCATGAGTAATTGAAGAGATTTTAATGGATGGGAGTGGGACTCACATGAAATAGAGTTTCCTTTTAGGTATGTATATTTTTTTAAAGCAATTTTCGCTTGAACCATCCTAGTACAAAAAAAATAGGGAATATTTGGTGTGAATACATTATTTAAGAATTTCAATATTTAGACACCAGTAAGCGAGTAAGGTTCCCTTGCATTATTTTCCTCACTGTAGGTGTGTTTGCATAATCTAAATAACCGGTTGTCCGTTTACTTGTGAGGTCACTTTACAGTTGTTTGAACTTCAAATCACTAGACTTTTTTGAAAGAGACAGCTTGTAGGCCCTACACACTTATTATAAATATTGTTTGGGAAGTTTTTCAAGTTATTAAATAATTAACTAAAACTAGTGTATCCAATTAAGGGTATTTTACAAAAATATGTGAGGATTCTTTGAGATAGTTGCAATTTTGAAAAAACTTTTATATATTTTAAAGAACCTAGAGCTACAAAATGTTGCCTGAATTAGCGACAGTCAGCATATTTCTTTTTATGCTAAATTTTGAAAAAAGAACTGAGAAATCAAATGAGGAATTTATCATGTGTGGAATTGAATCAGAGTTAAAAGCTAATGTTACCAATTCTAGTTTGGGTAAAAAACCCATAAAGTATCCAGTGATAAAACAATAATCATGAAAAGTAATGTTTCTAGGGTGTCTGTTTGACCCTTGAAATGACTCTTTGCATGACCCTTCAAATTTCCAAAAGGCCTGATTTGACCCTCAGGATTTTTACTGGAGGGTCAAATTTTGTTAAAATCATGGGGATTTGATCTTGTAGTCTGTAAACGTACTTAGTCAAAATGACCCTCAGGATTTCATGGCTATAAGTGAACACCCTGTTGGTAGTCTTAAATTATTATGAAACTGTTAATTTATATATATGTTTATGAGAAAAAATACAATAATGTAAAAAGTTGTTTGTAACATCTGTCCCCATAACATCTGTCCCGCTATGTAAGAATATAAAGATGCTTACATTTGTAATATCACATAAACTCATGGTCACTGAAAATGGATTTTACACTATAATACCAAAGTTACAATGAAAATTGAAGAAATAACAAATAAAGATTTAAATTTTATGACGTATTTATTTCAAAATTATTATTTGTGAACACCTGAAAACATCCAGTGAATCTCATAATAAGTTCATTAAGATAATATTTAAGCTAATATTATCTTTGGACAACTTATAATAATCTATTGTTTTTCTGACAGTCACAGGTTTCAAAATATGGGTGACAGAAGGGGACGTCAGATGTTACAGACATGAACATTATGATTCTTTTTTACAATAATACTAAACTTCTCTAATTTCTTGTTCTTTTGTTGCATGATAGAGAAATTAAGTAAGCTTTGCAACTGTATACAGGCGCGGATACAGAACAGTGTTTCCTGGGGGGGGGGGGGGGGGGCTGACATATGGGTGGAGAGTTTGAAAACAAAAACAACAATGCAACAGGTGAAAATTGCACGTGTTTGAAGATTGGGGGCCAGCATGTGTGTTCATGTGACAAAAATTGTAAATTGATGTATTTTTATGTGATTGGGGTGGGTATTGGAGGGGTGTCCCCTGCCATAGACTGAGAAAATTTTGAAATATGAGGTTGAAAATGGTGTTATTTCCTTGACTTTCTAGTGCTATGTATGGTACCTTTTGGATGGTTTAACATCACATTGTATTTTGTATAGCTTATTGTTTGAAGCGTCTTTCAAATAGCAAATTCCACTGGTGTTTAGTAGTAAACAGCATACTTACCATTATGTATGCACGACCGTTAATAAAAATAATTTCAAACACTCACTCAATTTACTCGTCTGAATAATAGTTTTATATATAATAGCGCTTTTCCAAAGTAAAGTGTTATTAAAATACTGCTTTTCTATTGTACAAAAAATAATAATTTCAAACACATTTTAATATTCAATAAGAATTTTTCCCATCAATAAATCCATTTTAGATATTAAAGAGGTTAGTACAATTTAAATTTTATTTGAGCCGTGTCATGACCAACCAACATAATGGGTTTGCGACCAGCATGGATCCAGACCAGCCTGCGCATCCGCGCAGTCTGATCAGGATCCATGCTGTTCGCTTTCCAACTCTATTACAAGTAGAGAAACTGATAGCGAACAGCATGGATCCTGATCAGACTGCGCGGATGCGCAGGCTGGTCTGAATCCATGCTGGTCGCAAACCCATTATGTTGGTTTTGTCGTGACATTTAAAAAATATATCTGCCATAAAAAAATATTAAAAGCAAATGACCAATTATTTCATCTTAATAAATTTTTTAGTAAAACCAGTTATGAAGATGTGATTCCTTTAATATTATCTTTATAAAAATTGCCACCTTTTAATTTACAAATAATAATTTTCAATTTCTTAATTTTAAAGCTTTCGCAAAAAATGGTAAAACAAAGATAGTAAAATATGGTATACTATATAACACACCTATTTGCCAATATCTGTGACAATTAATTTCATTAGACCTTTGGAAGGTAATAAACCCATTAATTATGTTGTTTAAACATTGAAGTCATTCAAGCATGTTGATAGATAAAGATCTCTGCCAAGCCCTCAGGCAGGAGATTAACAACTGGATGACAGCAATAACTGTTTTGATAAGGGAGTAGGTACACTGCAGCCAATAAAGTTTGAAATTAGCAAAAATATATTCTTCCAGCCCTGAGCTAGTAAATGAAAGCTGGGGGGGGGGGGAGGGGCTGCAGCCCTGAAGCCCGGGCCTGAATCTGCCACTGGTAAAGGAATTTTTCACACTAAAATAAAATACTACTGAAAAAATTATAAGAACTGGAAGAAAACAACACCAACAAAATCCAAAACAGGATATAATTAGAAGAGGTGCAAAAGTTTGAGATGTTGAAAGTATTTATTCACGGTGATTAGAATTAGTCAATTGTTAAAACAATATAGATTCTTTAACCTTAAATAGTAAAGAAATTATCAACCCAGCCCCTCATAAAACAGTGGGATATGGATCCTATAACTATATACACACAGAACTGATGGGACTGGCACTTTAATGGAAGTTAATAATGGAAGTTAATTATCAAGCTGTATATTGGGAAGTGGGGGTGCCAGTATAGTGTGATATATTACAAAACAGTGGGACAGCATGCCCATCATTATATAAGCTGTAAATAAATTTAGTATGGGGATTAAATATTGAATGTCAAAATTTTATACTCTGGCAACAGAGTCAATTAAATAAAAAAAAAAAAAAAAACTCAACACACACATTCGACACCCTGAATAAATTAAATTTTTTGGGGTTTTTTTTTCTGTTGTTTTTTTTCCCCTTAAAATTCAAGAACATTTTCTTACCATTTGACCTAATTCAATTATTATAAATAAAAGTGGAAGGAAATCATAAGTAAAGGATATGGTTAGGATTTCTGGAATGAAAAAGTTGGATAAAGTTTTAATTGTTGATAATTTAAATTTGTGTATTTAGCAATAAGAAATTCAAGCTTGCATATTTATGGTTCATTTTTTACTTCACTCTGTATCATAATGTTGTGCAGCAGAAAAAATGAATAAAATTCTTTAAAAAAAATAAATGAATAAATATGCAATGATGATTTTCTTTAAAACAAAAATATTTATAATATATAATCATTTTTCTAAAAGGTCAAATTTATCAGAACAATGTGTGAAATTTCAAATATGTTAAGTTACAAAATATTATATGTTTTAATAACAGATGTCAAATTAATATTTATGTAACCAGAAGATTAAATATGGCTTTTCCTCTTTGTCCAATCAACAGTGCTAAAAAAGTTTTTATTATATTTAGGTGATGATGTCAATTTAGTCGTCTTGTACCTAATAAGTTGTTAAACCTTAACAATGACTGATAAAATGTCCAAGGTGATGATTGTTGTTTATATAATTCTATGTTGCTATGTTACCATATTTTTGTAGTGAAACCTGATTCTGGTCATTTTGTTATTTAAGACACAAAAATGTTAAAATTCTGTTGGTCAGTTTAAAACGAATTCCTATTTAGAAAGGTTGTAAAATACATGTAGAAAAATTTAGATAGTTAGATTTTGGATTTCCAAGTGATAACGTTGTGGCTCTCCACTAGAAATATTTGTTACTGTTTTTTTAATATCTATTTGTTAACATAAGGATAACCTGTGTATATGTTATATATTATTTGTGGTATTCCACTAAGAAAGATTAACATTAAAATATATAAAACGGAACATTTGTGTTGAGATTCAATCCACCTTCAGTAGACCTATAAAAGTTCAGCGCATAATACTTGGTGGGAATCAGTGTCTTTCCCAACCTCTCAATTTAGCAAGCGAGACTACGAATTCAACTTCCCCAAGAAAAACATCAATGAGTTTCATAAACGGAATACCATTTAGAAGTGAAAAATCATGTGGACAATGTGGACTTAATCATTATAACAGTAAGGAGAAGTGTTGTGCAGAAAATGGCAAGAAGCAACAAAATGCAAGAGAATTGGACATTTTGCACGAGTCTGCCGAAAATACAAGCAGTCCAAGTCAAGTCTAATCTAAACAACGGGATCAAGAACATATGACAACTTTTATCAGACGTAAGACAGCAAAGAAAACATGTTACCAATTCTATAACGAAGACGATGCTTCTTTAAGTATATTTTAAACAAACAACTCTGTTAGTAACGTTTCTAAAGCAGAATTTCAGAAGATACAATCTTTAAATGATTCAATGAATAAAACAATTCACGGTTTAAAATCAGAAAATGTGGCTCTAATTTTGAAAAAATCAAAGACTTAAAAACTTTAATGAAAACCTGCAGAATGAGATTTCCCTCAAGAAATCACAAATATGTAATTTTCAAGAAGCATTGTTGCAAGAAAACAACTCGCTAAAAGAAAAATTAAGTGCTGACTCGTCAAAACTAGAGAAAATGGACAAACTTATTTTAGAAATATAAGAAATTGAGTGATGATTATGTAGAATTGAGACTCCAATACAAACAGAAAGCTTTATGACGAAGCATTGATGACAGAATCATTGAATGACCAAATAGATGACCTCAAAAATAAAAACCAAAACCTTGACAGATGAGATTACTCAGCTTAGAGACAGAACAAAATATCTTTGTCGTAAAAGAGGAAATAGTAATCAGGACCTTTCAACAGCAATGTGAAACCGGGTTCCCACACGAGTATAGATCAGGAAGCAAATTTCACCATGGAAGACAGCAAGGACAGAGGGGCAGTATAACAGAAGTAGACGTTATTGAAAGTTTATTGTTTACAATAAATCAGTGATATACATGTATGATATATTATAAAGTGGATGGTACTTATGCTTTTCAGCAAAATCGGTGCTTTATGTTCACAATATATTTCTGTAACTGAATATCTTACGTAAACGGTATTCTAATTTAATGATATTTATTTTTGTTATATACATATTTATGCTTCATTTCACAGGAGTGAAATAATCTTAAAGGAGGAGAAGTGTTGTGCAGCAGAAAAATGATAAAATTCTTTAAAAAAAAAATAAATGAATAAATATGCATGATGATTTTTCTTTTTAAACAAAAATATTTATAAATATAATCATTTTCTAAAAGGTCAAATTTTCAGAACAATGTGTGAAATTTCAAATATGTTAAGTTACAAATATTATATGTTTTTAATAACAGATGTCAAATTAATATTTATGTAACCAGAAGATTAAATGATGGCTTTTCCTCTTTGTCCAATCAACAGTGCTAAAAGTTTTATTATATTTAGGTGATGATGTCAATTTAGTCCGTCTGTACCTAATAAGTTGTTAAAACCTTATGACTGATAAAATGTCCAGGTGATGATTGTTGTTATAAATTCTATGTTGCTATGTTACCATATTTTGTTAGTGAAACCTGATTGGTCATTTTGTTATTTAAGACACAAAAATGTTAAAATTCTGTTGGTCAGTTTTAAAACGAATTCCTATTTAGAAAGGTTGTAAAGATACATGTAGAAAAATTTAGATAGTTAGATTTTGGATTTCCAAGTGATAACGTTGTGGCTCTCCACTAGAAATATTTGTTACTGTTTTTTTTTATATCTATTTGTTAACATAAGGATAAACCTGTGTATATGTTATATATTATTTGTGGTATTCCACTAAGAAAGATTAACATTAAAATATATAAAACGGAACATTGTGTTGAGATTCAATCCACCTTCAGTAGACCTATAAATTCAGCGCATAATAATAATATCTTTTACAAAGATATATCTGATTATACAAATACAGTATTTTGTAAATAATTTTATGTTTAGAAAAGTACCATTTGTATGCCATTTTTTACATTATCTGGAAACAAGGATTTCTTTAAATTCATCAGTATTATGTTCTCATTATTTTCATTCCAATCATTTCAATTTTCATTCAAATGAAAGATAACTGGAAAAAAAATTAGGCTGAGAAATCAAAGATTTATGGAAAACAAATTAAGGTTTTACTGTAGAATATAAACTAGAAATAATCTCTTTCATGTAGTTCCTTGTTATTAAAGTAACAATTCCTTAATGTTTGATTTTTGATTAAACTAATGGATCAATTTTCAATCCACAGGTAATTATTAAGGTTAAAGTGCTTTGATGGTCAACTCGGAGTAATACAACACAGCATGACTATGCAGTAATGTTGTGTTATAAGGTTACTCAAACAATCTAAAGCTTATAGTACCCTTTAAACATTCTATAATCATTTGTTAGTCCCCTACCGGTTTAACCAGAGGGGATTTGAGGTTTACTCTCTGTCTGTCCGTCTGCTGCAGTGAGTCCGTCCACAAACCTGAATCCTGAGAATATATAACACAATAAGTACTGAAAATATTTTTATGAAACTTGATATAGGGTAAGATGGCAGTCTGGAGATTATGCATGTTTTTTTCTGTTTTGTCCTATGTTGAAAAATTTGGTTGCTATGGCAACAAATAGACTGAAAATATTGCTAATTTAACACATAAACTGGATCCAGTGATAACACAAAAAGTATTGAAAGTATTTTTATGAACATTGAATTATGGGTAGATGGTAGTATAGAAATTATGCACGTCTTCTTCTGTTCTTCCTATGTTGAAAAATTTGGTTGCTATGGCAACAAATAGGCTTAAAATATGGCAAATTTAACAAAATTTGTGATTTCTCAAAGCATGCTGATTGATTGATTGATTTTTCTAGACCGAGCGGTCAAGGATAACCTATGACAGTGCAAGCTCTTATTTCCAGTAGGGTCCTTACCTCACCAGACTCTTGAGACAGCTATGAGATACATTTAGGGAGTCCGGTAACCTGAGTCCCTAGCTCTTATTGAATAAATTCCTTGGTTCTTTTTACATGCCCAGTGTATAACACTGATACATGCAAGGATTACCTGGATTATTTACACGTAAACCTCTAGGTAGGTGGGAAACACTGAAAGTGTTTCTGAAAAGTCCCAAGGGTGTTACCCAGGATTGAACCCGGAACCTCAGGAGTGACAGTCAGTGGTTAAACCAACTGAGCTATCGTGCCACCTGAAATGAAAACATTTTTATGAAACTTAAAATATTTTAATCTTGACTATATTTTTATGGGAGAATATGGAGAGCTGTCAAGATTCCCCCCCCCCCCCTTGACCTTAGAATGTTCATGAAAAAAATGATGTTTTTGTGTCGCCTTGTAAAAACCTTGAAAAAGGTTGCTTTTATAAAAACTATGGACTTGAAACTTCATAAGATGATAGATCTTATTGATAAGAAGTGCAGTGCACAGAAACTGCTGCTCTTCACTTCTTATTTTTTGAGTTATATAACCCTTAAAAAATTGTTAATTTTCATAATTTCATTTTTTGCTCTGGCCATTTCTCCTAAACTTTATTGTTCACAAGGCGACACATCCGACTCACGGAGTTCTAGTTTTATAACTTTTTTATATATTTATGTTTCTACTTCAAACTTAATACATATGTTTCTTATTATCACTCAAATAAATCATTTGTGAGAAGGTTCAATACTATAGCTTGACTATTTCCAGAATTAGGTCCCATGCACTTGAGATTTTTTGCTAGAAATAAATTATTTTTTACTTAAACTTTTTCATTTCTTATAGCATTTACTTCAAACTCCCACATCATATGACAAGGGTTACAAATCTAGCATACATGTTGCCAGAATTATCTCCTTAAACATTGAATTTTTCTTATTCATTCCTTAACTTACTTATTTCTCCACAGATTTCCTTACAAGGGAGGCTTGGAAACTTAACACATTACTAAGATATAGACAAACTAAGAACTTGAAAGCTTAAAGTTCATTCATATCATTCATTCATTCAGTGGCATAATTGAATGGCCAATGACCCATCATAATGTTGCTGGGGTTCTAACCGGTAGGGGACTTTAATAATGGATTGCTTGCATATACCATGATAATTGCTTGTTTTCACTTTATTATTTTTCTATTATTTTTAACAACATAATAAAACTAGTTAGTGGGATCTGGTTTTAGTGTAATGGCTTTTAGACTAGAAATGGTAATACTTTTGCTTAAAATTTCAGGGTCTATTATCTTAGCCAGTAAACTACATGTGAGCAAGGGGAATGTGATTAGAGAAGACTGGTGATAATAAACAGAGGCCACTCAAAAAAAGAAAATGTAAGTAACTCTACAAAGAACGTTTAAAAGGCTAAAAAATGTGTGCTTGTGCTTACTTCTACATGTATGATAGAATTTCAAAATAAATTAGTTAAAGCTACATGTCCCACACAAAACAGTTCTAAAAAACATCAACATATTTGTTTATAGTTATTAAATATGCATAGAAGTGAAATTTGCAGTTTCAATGACTAACATTTGTTATTTTTCATTTGGCAAAGATAAAGATATCCCTACAGGTAGAACTGGCTATATATATGTCAGTTTTAAAATTACCATGATATCTTCTTTTTTTTTCTCTTTTATATATTAGTTTCCCCCCTGGCGGGCGGCTGGACAGACGCTATTTTATTTTTATCCGGAACATAATTTTTCTACACTCATTGGGGAATTTTAATGAAACTTCATAGAAATGTTCACCAGTATGAGAAACTGTGTCGCACACATGAACCAGGTCTCTAGGTCAAAGGTCAAGGTTACACTTACTAGTAACTGAAAAACACTTGTTTGTAGCAACACTTCTACATGCATAAAGGGATTTCAATATAATTTCACGCAAATATCACCATTGTGAGGCGGAGTATCTGGTGGAAAATTTTAGATCCCTGTGACCAAGGTCAAGTTGACACATATGGGTCAAAGTTTTAATAAAAAAAATTTAAATTTGTATTTGGACCATTTTGTTATCATTTATTGAGGGATTGAAACACAAATGGTCATTAGCATGACTACAGGTGCGAAACATGTGATTTAGATTAACATAATTATGCAAGGTCACGGTCACTAAAGATGAGAAACTTGTGCTTTTGTCCAGAGCATATCTCCTACACATATGGGGTGATTCTAATGAAACTTTATAGAACTGTCACCATTATGAGAAGCAGTGTCATGCACATGAACCAGGTCTGAAGGTCAAAGGTCAAGGTCACACTTCGAGGTCATTGAAAAACGCTTGTCTAGTTTAAATTTCTCAGATATTTGAGATCTGTGAACTTCTTCCCAATAAATATTTTTCACTGCTTTAAAAATGTTCATTAATTCTCTAGTGAATATCTTATTCAATAGTAGAATTTACTGAGTTATAAATGACACTCTAAAAAGATGAGACAATAAACTTCCCAGAAAAACAAGTGCATACAAAAAGACAAGTTTGATTTGTTTGTTAGCTCACCTGTCACAAAGTGACATGGTGAGCTTTTGTGATCGCTTTTCGTCTGGCGTCCGTCCATCTGTAAACTTTTATTTAAACATCTCCTCATAAACCGCTAAGCCAATTTCATCCAAACTTCACAGGAATGTTCCTTTGGTAGTAAACATTAAAATTGTTCAAAGAATTTAATTCTAAGCAGAACTCTGGTTGCCATGGCAACAGAAAGTAAAAACTTAAAATATCTGCTTTTAGAAAATCCCAAAAGCTAGAGCTGCTTTTAGAAAACCCCAAAAGCTAGAGCTTAAATCTTTGGCATGAAACATCATCTAGTCAGTGTCTACCAAGTTCGTTCAAATAAATGCCCTGGAGTTAAAATTGGCCCTGCCCGGGGGGTGGGTAATTGATTTTCCTTAATTGTGTATAGTTCAAACTTAAAAATCTTCTTTTAAGAAGCCCAAATAGCTAGAGCTTAGATATAAAGCATGAAACATCTTCTAGTGGGTGTCTACCAAATTTGTTCAAATCAGGGCCCTGGGGTCAAAATTGGCCCTGGCCCGGGATCATTGATTTTCCTTATATGTATATAGTAAAAACTTAAAAAGTCTTCTTTTAAAAAACTCAAAGAGCTAGAGTTTAGATATTAAGCATGAAACATCTTCTAGTGAGTGAATACCAAGTTTGTTCAAATAAAAGCCCTTGGGACAAAATTGGCCCCGCCCAGGGGGCCTACATACAGGTGATCGATTTCAGGGCCATCATCCCGGCTCTCTTGTTTGATTTGGGTTTTTTACATTACACCGACACATTATAGGTCATTTGGCGACCTTCCAGCGTTACTGGTGGAGGAAGACCTCAGGTGCCCCTCCGTGCATTTTTTCAAGCATGAACGGGCACCTGAGTAAAGCCACCGACGTTCCGTAAGCTAGCTGAATAGCTTCCTTACATGAAATAATCCAAAGTCCCTGTCGGGATTCGAACACACAGTGGTAAGGGGCAAGTGGTTTTAAAAAGACAAGTAATAAACAGTTTATTCTTGTCCAAGTATCTTTTTAAAGATACTTCTGTTTTGTCATAATTTCCCCTACATCACAGCAAAATCCAATGCACTCAATGTATAATTATATAAAGTTGGTGAGCCTGAACTTAGTACATCTTACAGAATTCTGTAAAGGATTCCTGTTTTGAACCAATCTCACACAAAAAATAAAAGTAATATAAGAATTATTCTTAACATGCAACAAAATTTTATGATCCTAATTTAAAACATTTTGTCAGTATTTTGCTTAGGCCAAAAAAAAAAATCTTGTTTCTGGTCTGCCGACCGACTGTATATTTTACCCCTGACCAATATGTCAGAATGACATGGGATCCATTTATATTTAATGCAGCACTTTGCATATATGTCATCGGTTTAACAGTCAACCCCCCAAAAAATCCCTACCTACTGACCTTGTTCATTTAGGGGACTGTGACCAGAAACAAGTTGTTTTTGTTTTTTTGGCCTTATATACATGTATTTATCTGGGTTTTTTTAAGTCATTCACTTGTATCTTACAAAGTCCCAGAATTTGAAAAGATTATTTTGTGAAATGATAGAAAATAATGAAATGAAAAAAGTTAAATGAATCCTTATTTATTTTCAGATACTGTTGTGAAAAAGACTCAAAATGGCAGAAAATAATTGGATTTTACATGGGCATATTCTGTTGTAACTTCGTTTGGTAGCTAAAAATTGTTTATTAAAAATACCTGTATGGCTGTGAAGAGAGATGTTGAGAGTGATGATAATGTGCGATATACTAGAATCAGATTGTCTGTCTGTCTGCCTCACAGTCTACCTATTGGAGCTATTGAAGTGAAACTTAATAGACAGATGTATCTCATTGCATTGAAATTTAGTTTCAAGGCATTTAATCAAATTTGTTTTTCATATGATAGATCAGTCAAAATGTTTCTTATTTAGTGATTTATTTGTGGCTCAAATTTAGCAATTGAAACTAAATTTGCCTCATAATGGTCTTGAACTAAAAATATATGTCAAATTAGTGTATTTTCATCATTTTTAGCTTGTCATTTTTTTTTCAAAGAAAAAAATAGAGGTATTGTTACAGTCAATGGCAGCTTTTCCATTGCCGTCCGCAATCTTTAACTTTGATCAAAATTTCTAAATTATCGCATTTTATTCTATCAAATTGTTATATCTGTTTTGTTAAGGGGGAACGGTTCCACTTTAGAAAATGGATAAGAGATAAGTTTTGAAATTTTTTTTTATTTTGATGAGGGAACGGTTCCCTCTTACTGGTAACCTGGCTCTAAAATTCTACATTATTGCATTTTATTCTATCAAATTTTTAAATCTGTTTTGTTAAGGGGGAACGGTTCCACTTTAGAAAATGGATAAGAGATAAGTTTTGAAATTTATTTTTTTATTTTGATGAGGGAACGGTTCCCTCTTACCATTTACATGGCTCTAAATTTCTAAATTATTGCATTTTATTCTATCAAATTGTTATATCTGTTTTATTAAGGGGGAACGGTTCCACTCTAGAAAATGTGTTATAGATAAGATTTGAAATTTGTTTTTTATATCGATGAGGGAACGGTTCCCTCTTACGGGTAAACTTGCTCTAAATTTCTAGATTATTGTATTTCATTCTATCAAATTGTTATTTCTGTTTTGTTAAGGGGGAACGGTTCCACTTTTGAAAACGTGTCATACTTAAGTTTTTTAAAAGAATTGTTTTTTATTTCGATGAGGGAACGGTTCCCTCTTACTGGTAACATGGCTCTGAATTTCTAAATTATTGCATTTTATTCTATCAAATTGTTATATCTGTTTTGTTAAGGGGGAACGGTTCCACTTTAGAAAATGTGTCATACTTAAGTTTTTTGAAAAAAAAAATTAATTCGATGAGGGAACGGTTCCCTCTTACTGATAACATGGCTCTGAATTTCTAAATTACTGCATTTTATTCTATCAAATTGTTATACATGTATCTGTTTTTTTTAAAGGGGAACGGTTCCACTCTAGAAAATGTGTTATAGATAAGATTTGAAATTTATTTTCTATTTCGATGAGGGAACGGTTCCCTCCTACCGGTAACCTGGCTCTAAATTTCTAAATAGCTGCATTTCATTCTATCAAATTGTTATATCTGTTTTTTTAAGGGGGAACGGTTCCACTCTAGAAAATGTGTTCTAGATAAGTTTTGAAATTTGTTTTTTATTTCGATGAGGGAACGGTTCCCTCTTACGGGTAACCTTGCTCTAAATTTCTAAAATATTGCATTTTATTTCTATCAAATTTTTTAATCTGTTTTGTTAAGGGGGAATGGTTCCACTTTAGAAAATGGTAAGTGATAAGTTTTGATATTTATTTTTTATTTTGATGACGGAACGGTTCCCTCTTACGGGTAACCTTGCTCCAAATTTCTAAATTATTGCATTTTATTCTATCAAATTGTATTTTTGTTTTGTTAAGGGGGAACGGTTCCACTTTAGAAAATGTGTCATACTTAAGTTTTTAAAAAAAAATTTTTTATTTCGATGAGGGAACGGTTCCCTCTTACTGGTAACATGGCTCTGAATTTCTAAATTATTGCATTTTATTCTATCAAATTGTTATATCTGTCTTGTTAAGGGGGAACGGTTCCACTCTAGAAAATGTGTTATAGATAAGATTTGAAATTTATTTTCTATTTCAATGAGGGAACGGTTCCCTCCTACCGGTAACATGGCTCTAAAATTCTAAATTATTGCATTTTATTCTATCAAATTTTTGAACCTGTTTTGTTAAGGGGGGAACGGTTCCACTTTAGAAAATGGGTTAGAGATAAGTTTTGAAATTTATTTTTTATTTTGATGAGGGAACGGTTCCCTCTTACGGGTAACCTTGGTCTAAATTTCTAAATTATTGCATTTTATTCTATCAAATTGTTATTTCTGTTTTGTTAAGGGGGAACGGTTCCACTTTAGAAAATGGGTAAGAGATAAGTTTTGAAATTTTATTTTTTATTTCGATGAGGGAACGGTTCCCTCTTCCTTGTAACATGGCTCTGAATTTCTAAATTATTGCATTTTATTCTATCCAATTGTTATATCTGTTAATTTGTTATGGGGAACGGTTCCACTTTAGAAAATGTGTTTTGAAGTTTAATTTTTTGATGGGGGAATGGTTCCCTTTTATCGGTTATATGGCTCTTATTTCTTAATTATTGCATTTTATTTGATTAAATTGTTATATCTATTTTTTTAAGGGGAATGGTTCCACTTTAGAGTATGTGTTAAAGATAAGTTTTGAAATTTGCTTTTTATTTTGATGAGGGAATGGTTCCCCCGTAAGCATAATGTATCTCTTATTACTGAACAATTGCTTTTTATTTATCGAATCATGTTGTATTCTGTACATGGCTTTTGTTCTTCGGGGGAATGGTTCCCCCGAAAACATTTGCAAAAGAAACAAAAAATAAAATTTGGATGTTTACTTTAGCTGTTTGTCTTTTACTTTTCACAAAACAATACCATTACTTTAGCTGAAAATAATGTAAAAATAGTGCCTTAAAAAGGGGAACGAGTGTATTTCCCCTTTTTAAAATATATCGAGGTCAAATACTTATATTTGTAGTCGAGTATTCTAATCCAAAGTAAAATTGTATGCCCGCAAGACAGCACAGATACATTTAGGCTTGTGATTAATATCTTTCAATATCAATTGGTTGAAATCTCTTATCATCAATGAAACACAGCAGTCAAATGTTTTGAGAAAATTCTCTAGCTCGAAACAATGCCGGAGGATACAGCGAGGGAAGTGACATAAGCAAATGAAGTTAGTTATCTTTAAGGAGAACGGCTTTTCCTATATTTATATAAAGTAGTCTGTCCAATCATTATTTCGAGGAACATAAGTTATAGTAATGTATAATAGGAGGAATTTTCTCAAAAAGCAAAATTATCAGAGCCGTTAACAGTTTTTCTATGAAATGACGACAAATAATCTTAACCAGTTTACGTCATATTCTACTATTCCCTTTCATATAGAATCCACAAAATGTTAAGTTAATATAATGAACAGCAATATTAAATATGTACTTGGACTGAAAACGAAGCAAAATGTTTTTTTTTAATCGTTATATGTCTACCTGTTGGCTTACTTTTATATATTATTTAAAGAGTTTGTCATACAAATTATCTTCGTTTCTTTGTTAGTGTAAACCAAAATACTTTTAAGTTAAATCTTAGATAAATAGCCTAAAATTATGGTAATAGTAAAAATTCTAGATCTTTTTCCTAAAATCCAGAATAATGCTACGTAAACCACCGTTACTAATTAATGTTTTTCTAATATTTATCGTACGAGGAATAGGTCTTCATAGTATTTACACACCACCATTTTTTAATAATAATAATTGTATGTTTAAAATTGCGAAGTAAATAAATTATCTTCTCATTGCCTTGCTTTTAACAGCGAATACTGTCTAATAACTTGATGAGTTTAGTACAGCGTCATTGCTTTTTATGCCACCGCAGCATCTGCGATGCGGTGGCATATAGCGATTCACCTGTGTGTGTGTGTGTGTTTGTTTGTTTGTGTGTTATATAGATTATATAGTGAACTTAAAAAATCTTCTTGTGAAAAACCACTAGTCCAATTTCAACCAAACTTGGCAGGATTGATCCTTGGGTGAAGGGCTTCCAAAGTTGTTCAAAGAATTTAATTCCATGCAGAAATCTGGTTGCCATGGCAACCAAAAGGAGTTATAAGAATAAATTAAAAAAATCTTCTTGTAAAGACCCAAAAGGCCTAGAACTAAGATATTTTGCATAAGGCATTGTCTGGTAGACCTCTACCAAGATTGTTCAAATTATAGCCCTGGGGTCAAAATCGGCCCCGCCCCGGGGGTCATTGATTTTCACTATATGTACATATAGTAAAAACTTAAAATCCCTTCTTGTAAAGACCAAAAAGGCCTAGAGCTTAGATATTTTGCATAAGGCATTGTCTGGTAGACCTCTACCCAGATTGTTCAAATTATAGCCTTGGGGTCAAAATTAGCGCCGTCCCGGGGGTCATTGATTTTCCTCATATTTACATAGTAAAAACTTATGGTAAAAATTTAAAAAAAAATTCTTCTAGCAATTGACAAATGCTAGAGGTTAGATATTTTGCATGAAACATTGTGAAGTGAACCTCTAGCAAGATTGTTCAAATAATAGCCCTGGGGTCAAAATTGCCCCTGCCCCGGGGTCATTGATTTTCAATATATACGTAGTATATACAATATATATATAGTAAAAAATAAAAAAATCTTATTGTCTGAAGGTACAAGGCTTAGAGCTTTAATAATTGTTAAATGATATCATCTTTAGGTACTCTACCACAGTTGTTTAAATTTTGCCTCTAGTGTCAAAATTAAAAGTAAACTTTTATATCAGCTGACCTAGATTTCGACAAAGTGTATTGCATGTTGTCCTTTGATGCAGTCATGAAATTTAGGCTGTGTGAAATAGGACCTTAACCACCAAATTCACTAGACTCGAGTGCATTGATATATTCCTACTCTGATCTTTTATTGTTTAACAACTAATCTGATAATAAGAATTAGATAGGTTAGGGATCTATGCATTATGACAATCTTCAAATCTGTTCCTACACTACTATTTAGTGTTGTATTAATGCGGTGGCATAGCATTTTTCTCAAATGCAATCTTGTTTGTTACTTATTTCAGGACAAATCTTAACTTTACCAGCAAAGGCATCATAGGTTTAGAAGTCGAATG